GTTGCCTTTTCGATTTTTTCCCTGGCTGATTTACTTCCTCTGTCCCGTTTCTTGTGATGGCTCTTCGGGTCCCTCCCTGGCTGTGTTCCTGTGGTTCTCTGGCTGTATTTCCCGTGGCTTTCCTTCCTGTTTTCTGTGCAGATTTTGTGGGCTGTTTGTGGTGTCTTTTGGCCTTTCTTCTTCCCCTTACCTGATTGGTTTGGTTGGAGGTTGATGTTGGCAGTTTGGCTCCCCTTTTTGGCTATATATATATATATATATATATATATATATATGTGGGGATTTTGTCATGAAAAGATAGTTGATGAACTTGAAAGAAGTTGCTAAAAACCTGAGGGTTTCTTCTCATGGAAAAGCCTGAGAGCTTGTTGCACCTCTTCCTCCTCTCTATTTCGTCTTGGCTTCTAACCTCTTCTTCTCTACACAAGTTTCACTCCACTTGTATCCTTCTTCTTGAGCTTTTGGAAGTTGTTTGTTGGCTGATTTTTGGAGACATTTGCCGGAGGAGTTTGATTGGACGTTGGACCCTTTTGCTGTGGTTGACCCTAGATTTGCAAGCCTAAGCACTTTATCATACATTTTCCTACTTCTTGTTGCATGTGAGGAAACCGCTTGCCGGTTGTTCTGATGATAGTGTTTTTATGTTATAATTTTGTTTCGTTTGATTTGATTTTTCGTTTATCTGGACGTTTGTTTGGATGTTTGCAAGTTAAAGTGAATTGAGTTTATTTTTTTTATCCTTGTGTTCTCCAACTTGGCTTTTCTTTCAAATTTGCTTACATCATGCTCCCTATCACTAGTAGACTATCATTGTCTTGGGCAGGATTGGAAACATTCTATTGATTATATCACTTGGGTAGAAACGATTCTCACCTATTAAAACCTAAGAGCATCTTCCCTTCTGATCCCTAACCATTGAGCATTTGAGATTGTTAAACCCATAGCCTAACTTGATGGATTCAGAATTAACAAGTAGTTTTTCGTGCAAAAATGTCATATCAAAGAAGTTTAAGTTTTTGAACAATAAAAAGGAGTAGCTGAGTAGCTCTTCTACAAATAGAAATAAGTAAAGCAAAAATATATAGAACCTTATCATGCTTCTTAGAATAGTCTCCATACAATTACTTATGATCTTGTATACTCATTAGTAGTATTTAAGCCATCCAATTTAAATTGCAATATAGTAAGATCTAAATTTTTAAATATTTATTTTTTTAAGGAGAAGCACCTTCTAGACAAAACACCATGAAACCAATGTCAATAGAATGCTCGGTGTAAAATGCAAATCAGGGTGAAAGGAAGAAAAAAGATAGTACTAATTTATCATTCATTTTTAATTAAGCTACATAATCAATTAGTGTTTGTCTGCGCATAATAGTCGAATTCAAGAAAGGCAAGCAAGCACAATATTTTAAATTTATTTTCTTTTAACAACTGAATTTGGTGATGATATTGGCAGATGGAAATTTGTTTACAGCCAGCATTTGAATAATGTTGATCCGTAGACTGTAGATAACCTAACTATAATTTCACAATTCAAAGAAAAAAAATAACATTCAACAATATATTAGAGATGAACAAAATCAATTTCAATTTTGAAGATTCATGCCCATAAATATTATGGAAAACAGGAAGACATGGTGCTTAACCGCATGTGGTTACTGGTTTTCCTTATTCGATCTTGTCCACATATGTGTCAAATATTTTTTCTTAAAATTTTGGATTACATGGCGGCAAACAATCAAAGTTACTCAATCATGTCAAAAGTTAAATAAAAACAAACTGATCATACCACTAAGCCTGCTAAATTGTCATTCCAATAAAATAAAATAAAATTACATAATTTGACAGAGTAAAGTATAATACTTATCATAATGCCTCTCATTCATGCATACCTTAGCTCCTATCCAGCCATTAGTAGGCTAGATACACTTCACACGTGTAGGTTTCTATTAATAGTTATCAACCAAACCTAAAAGGAACCTAATAAGAGCAACTAATAACCATTCTTCTTGAGGATAAGTTGGCGTGCCCATCCATTTGCACTGCTGCAGCAACCTCCTTCGCACAGCTACTTTCAGAATTTATGCACCGTCTGATTTCTGCTTTCTAATCCTCTCCATTCATTACTAACTAATCTCTACTTTTATAGAGACGAGCTATAGCAACAAAGGATGATATGGAAAACCTTTTCTTCTCCATCCATTAGCTTGTCTGCTTTACTCTGTTTTCTATTTTCTCTGCTAATTCTGATTGCAGGTTTCAACATGGTATCAGATATCTCAGGAGAGTATTCTTCTTACTGCTCTTTCACAGCAGTCTACCTCATTAACTGTTTACCTTCACCGTTCTTCATAATAAAGCTCCCTATGAAGGTTTATATAATATCACCCCATCCTACTCTCATTTACGCACATTTGGATGTTTTTTCTATACCTGGCTACCAACTAAATTATCTCACAAATTAGCACCTCGTTCTATACCTTGTGTCTTTCTTGGTTATGCCTCTCAAGCCAAAGGATATAAATGCCTTCACATTCCTACTGGTCGCTTATACCTCTCAAGACATGTTACTTTCCACGAATTCATTTTTCCTTACCATAATATTGTACCTATAGCTATCCTTGTTTCTCCTCCCATACATATTCAGTCATCTGCTCTTGTTCCTATATCCACTATTTCTCCCATATCCACTCAAACATCTCATCTAACACCCTCAATATCTCCGGCTATTCCAACAAATGCTCCCTTTTCTACAATATCCACAAATTCCACATCCAACCTCCAAACCGAACTTCCAGTACCTGATTTTTCATCACCATCTTCACTTCCACAAAATCCAGTTTTCTCCTCCAACATCCTATGGTCACACGGCGCAAAAGTGGAACACTCAAACCAAAAAAATAATCCTTGATCTGCATCATTCTCTCACTACCTCTAGTCGTACTTCCTACACTCAAGCTATCAAATCTCCAATTTGGCGTGAGTCCATGAGTACCGAATTTGAAGCCTTACAAAAACAAGGAACATGAATTTTGGTACCCCCATCATCTGATCAAAATGTCTTGGGCTGTAAATGGATTTTTAAAACAAAACTCAATTCAGATGGTTCACTTACTCGATATAAAACACGTTTAGTAGCTCAGGGATTTAATCAGGAATTTGGCTTAGACTTTCATGATACCTTCAATCTTGTAGCTAAATTTCCTAAAATTTGAATTCTTCTTAATATCGTTGTTTCATATAATTGGACTAGGCTGCAACTAGATGTATCCAATGCATTCTTGCATGTTCGCCTTGAAGAAATTGTCCAAATGAAACAGTCGCCTGATTTTGTAGATATGCAATTTCCAAATCATGTATGCCTACTTCAGAAAGCAATCTACAGTCTTAAACAAGTTCCTCGGCAATGGTTTACTACCTTCTCTTCTTATCTAATTAATTACGGCTTTGTGACCTACTTGGCAGACCTGTCTCTTCTTCTATATCATCATGGAGATGTTCATCTGTACATATTAGTTTATGCTAACGACTTATTACTTACTAGTTCAAATCGGACTGCCATCATCGAGCTTCTCCATGCTCTTCAGAATAGGTTTCACATGTGAAATTGGGGTCCATTAACTTATTTTCTCAGCTTGAAAGTCACAACACATTCTACCGGTCTTCATCTAAACCAATCCAAATATGCAACTGAGCTTCTTAATCATGTTGGAATATCTGAATGCCGACTTGTCAGCACTCCCTTGCCACTCAAACTCCAACTCCACCTGCCAGTTATGTTTCCTATTCAAAACCAGAACTCTACCGCCAGCTCGCTGGTTCATTAGAGTATTTAACCTTAACACATCGTGATATTATGTTTGTTGTTCATTACCTTGGCCAACATATGCATCGGCGACGGCTCTTTCATTTTCAACTCTTGAAACGATTTCTCAGATACATTAAGGCACTATACAATTTGGAATGCCAATTATCCGATCCAAACTCCAACTAACAACTTTTTTGGATTCTGATTAGGTAGCAAATTCAATGGATCGTCGAGCTTTCTAGGTACAACCTTAATAGCCTGGACTATTAAGAAACAAACTGTTGTTGCTCGCTTGTCTACGGAGGCAGAATATCACGCTCTAGCCACAACCGCCTGTGACTTCATCTGGCTTTGTCTGCTCTATGAATTTGGCCTTTCTACCTCTCCAACCAAGCTCTTCTGTGACAATGTATCAGCTCTAGCATTCGCTAACAACACCGTGTTTCATGCTCGCACTAAGCATATTGAAATAAATTGTCACTTTATTAGTGATTGCATCAAAAGACAACATATATCAGTTCACCACATAGCTTCATTCAACTTCGTACCAAGCTAACTATTCAGCCACCCATAGTTAGCTTGAGGGGGGATGATAAGAGCAACAAATAACCATTCTTACATGAGGATAAGTTGGCACGCCTATCCATTTGCACTGCTGCAGCAACCTCCTCACACTGCTACTATCAGAATTTCTGCACCGTCTGATTTCTACTTTCTAATTCCCTCCATTAATTACTAACTAATCTCTATTTATAGAGACGAACTATAGCAACAAAGGATAATATGGAAAACCATTTCTTCTCCATCCATTAGCTTGGCTGTTTTACTCTGTTTTCAGTTTTATCTGCTAATTTCGATTGCAAGGTTCAACAGAACCAAACCTCCTCATCTAAGAATACTAAAATTTTGTCCTCCTCTTCCTCCTCCACATACAAAATGAAGCCAACAAAATTGATAAAAAACTGAAAGCAATAGCCATTTGACAATAGAAGTATGAGAGCAATTATTCATACCACAACAAGATAGAGTAGTAGAGATGTAACTATACAATTAAGAAACAAACAAAGTAATAAAACATAATTTTAACCCATGCGCAATAGATAGTAAACATTCCTATGCCTCGTCATTGAAATACAATGCCAAAATATGTAAAAATCTAAAATTCCTTATCATAATTGAGTTCACACACCTTCAAGTTAGGATGGAAATCAGAGCTATCCCTTGACAAGTACCTAAAGCAACAATACTCTACCAAACTCCGCGCATCATTCTGAATGCCCTGGGGCGCAAGCGCTTTAAAAATCCTCTGCATCTTTCTACCCGTCAATCCGCTCATCCTGCACCGTCCTTGTAAAATCAGATAACAGTTTAGCCTAAAACCAGCAGCATATACTTAAAAATTATATCAAATTCGGACATAAACATCAAAATAGATGAAAGTCAAATATTCATATTTAGAATGCATAATTAGGGCATGAACATCAAATTAAGCATCCATTTCCCCTCACCTCCCGAACTGCTCAATCGAGACAGCGGCGGGAAAGGAGAGGTACCCGTTCGGCGTCCTTCGATCAACAGTTATCTCCAAGGATAGGAACATCTCCAGGTCCATTCCCTGGGGCTCTCCATCGATCTCCAGCTTCATTTTCAATCCAGGCTTCACAAGCGGCAAGGCCACATCGTTAAGTAGCGTCTGCGCCTTGAACAGCCATGAGCTCAGCCGCTGCTGAACGGCACCTAAAAAAAATAAAAATCAGGGCAAGTAAACAGTAGGAACATAGATATTTGACAGCGAGAAGTAGGATACCTGTGTCTATGTCGGCAAACTTCCATCTGTTGCCACCGTTGCTGCTTCCAGTAGAGTTTAAGAAGCGGACGCGTCGGTCTGTAGCGGCGATGGAGAAACAAAATCTGGGGAGTAGAGGAGAGGTAGGGATCGTGGGGCGGAGAGGCGGGAAATGGAGAAGCATCGCCTTTATTTCGCTAGGGTTTTAAAATCATCTCACTTCTTCGACAAAAAAGAGTAACCGTTTTCTTCGTATCTAATGTTTCAAACTCGCTGTTCTTCTCGTCGCCCTTTCTCCCTACCGCTACTCTGCAGTCTGACTGCTTATCGTAAATCATAGATCTCCAATCTCTTGCTGGATTTTTTTCTTTTTTCTTTTTTTTTTTTCTAAAATTTTTTATTTAGATAAGAAACTGTTTTTTAATATCAGGGGCTGTTTGGCAACGGATAAGATTTAATTTTAGTAGAATTTAGTAATTTTTATTAATTCAAATTTAATAAATTTTGAGAGTGTAAAATCTTGAAAATTATTTGGTATACCGTATACATATATAAAATTCTGTTAAATTTTGCAGATTCTAAGATTTACGACACTAAGGAAATTAAATGTGAAGAAGGAACATTGAATTACATCAACAAGTTCAAGATAAGCCATACAACATAACAAACTCAATATAGATTCATACAATAGAAAATGAAAAATCAATAAATAAAACATGATAAAATAATATTGATCAAGACATGGATCAACTACTAATTAACAGTGCGCTTCAATATCCAAGAGGTTTTAATATCTTTTGTATGGGAGAGAAATTTCATTAGAATGATCGATGTAGATTCTGACACATGCGTATCACCATATTTTATTTAGCCTAAACATATTTTTTTCACTTTTTAGAGCAAGCAGCGTATTATTTTACAATACATTATTTTGAGTAGCAAATAAAAAACATCCATACACACTAACAAACTACTCCTGATAATAAAAAATATCATATTTTAATTTTATTCTAAATAATTATAACTGGTTTAAGTCCTATATTAAATAGCCAAATAAGTTATCAAAGATCAATCAACCGGGAATTTGGCCACTAAAATAGCATTCTGCAAATGTGATGAGGGAAAAATACTGAAGGGACCATCAAACATAAATGGTACACACACAAATCTGGGCACCAATGAACAGTACACAAAGAGAAAAATCATAAATTTTAATTCATTGTTCTCTGATTGTGTTGAATCTGTAAATGCAATTACATTGATAGTGCTCTTCTTATTATGATAAATAGAGCAAGCTTATTAATAGGATTTGCATTTATGCCGAAATCATAAAGCATGATTCTTGATCATAGTAGTTCTATATATATCAAAATTTATGTGATATTTTAAGAAAAAATTTATTTTACTTTTTAAAGAGAAATACATTTATAATATTTATAGTACATTTTTAAGAAATTATTTCTCCATAACAACTTCACAACTATCTTTACAAAAAACTACAACTATCATAAACATAAGCTGAGATTGGAGGAGGAAGGTCGCCTATGACTAATAGTTAGAATGGTGTTTTATTCTGAATTATTTGAATATAATTTAAATTTTTAAAAAGAAAAACTTCATATGAAATTCAAACCATCCAAAATAAACACTATCATACACTGGTAACTTCAAACCACCCAACCTTTACCAAAACTAGCTTGGCATATAACTTCTTTAAGTCAAATATTCCGGCGACTTGGTAATCATATTTCATCATGAGCAAATGAAGTTACACAGCTTCTATATTTTTTTCTTATGTATTATATAATAATATATATATAGTCAATTATATAATGCTCTCCAAATTTGATATAAATAGTCAAGCAGTGATCTCAATATAAATTTTGTGTAGTCAAGCTTGTTTCACATAAATCTTAAAGCCTCTTACTCTAGTATTATGATTTCTCTCTCTATTTTAATGATCTTTCTCACTCAGTATTCTTAACAAAATTTCGATGTGATTTATGTACAATTATGAATTCAACATCTTAAAAAGTGTGATGAGCATAGTGCATGGTACAAAGTAGAAGAGAATTATTTCGTGAAGCAGAGCTCTAACTCATAAATTGAGAAGAATATCTGAACATGAAGAACAATTAGGAATTCATTATTCTAAGGAAACTTGCAAAATTGAAGAAAGGATGATGAGAATCATTAAAGGAGAATTGGGATGAATTCTAATGCCCGTCCTCTTTTTTTTTTTTTTTTTTTGAAGAAATGCATAAAGCAATATTATTAAATCAAGAAGAAAGTCCTAGGTAGGATAAAATCTATCACATTCCTCCTTCAACACTTTGTGAAAAAGGGGAGGAATGTTATAGTTAACCAAACTATCCCAAACAAAATCACATACACAAACATAGTTAGCCAACAATCGGCTAACTTATTACAATCCCTATTAACAAATTGAATAATGACTTGATTGAAATTTCTAAGAAAGAAAAAACCTTCTATGTTATGAATGTTACCTTCAGCTTTTCCCTATTTAATAACGTCTTTGATGTGAGTAATGATGTTGAAATTATCCCCCTCTATGTTGATTCATTTAGCTTCATACATCCATTCTTGGACAGCCTCCTTCAAGGCCATAAAAGCTTTCATCTCCAAAGCCATGATATCCAAATGAATCCTTTTAAAACCAAAAGCAAACAAAAATATGCCTTTACTATCTCTAATTATGCCTCCAATTCCATCCGTGTAATCCTTATGAAGAGAAGCATCAACATTTATTTTGATCCATTCGGTTTGTGAGGGGGGGGGGGGGGGGGGGGCGGAAGAGGGAGAAAAAACCCGTTTTTATGGCTCTTTTTATATGAACATGGTCAAAGGAAGGCACGAAATGTAACGGTAGACTGAGATTTACATCCACACAATCAAGTTATGTGATATTTTCTATCCATGAGGAGAGGTGTAAGCTGATAGGCCGGTTTAGTGTACAAGAGGCGGACATGCTTGGTTTGCCCCCTATGTTTGCCGCCCAAACCTAATGGACCCCATAACTCAAATGACTAATAAAAAAGGCTTGAACTTAAATAAATGAAATTGAAATAAGAGCTTGATGTAGAACGAAGCTTTCAAGAGAGTTTTAATGGTGTTCCAATTTAAATTTTTAAAAAAAGATAGATTGAGTTTGGTAAAAAGCACTACTCAGAGATTTCACCCTCATTCTGTGAGAACTTTATAATCTAGTTCTAGATTTCTCATAGGCACAAACAATTATGGTTTATCATCTCTCCTGATGATGAGAGAGCACTTTTGATTAAGGCTTGTCATTAAACATTTATGAAATACCTAGCATATAGTAGCAGCATGTGACTTTTTTAAAATTATAAAATTTATTATTTTTATACTTAAAGTGGTTGGTGGGGGGAATGATGACAAACCCGATTAATATTTCATAGCTCTATTGTCCTTGGCCATCGTGGTCCCTAGTCTATTTAGTCAAAGAAGACAGTTGAACCTGTCTGAAGGATCACTGTCGACAGTCATGGGTTGCTTCTTTTAAGGGTACCTTATAAACTTGAGTTGTAAATTTTTTAAGGAAATAAATTTTAGTTAACCTTTGCTGACATAGAGGGTTATGTCTTATCGAGTGCATCCCATGATTCATTACTCATTGAGCTTTTAACCATTTGGGAAAAAGCAGGCTTTGGACATAACCTTGATATAGTGGTGCTATTTTGCAACAAAATCTCTCGGTTACAGGGCACATGTTGTGATGTCCCATAATTAAAAAATAATAACCAGAGCTACATAATTTTTTTACAATATCAATAACAGCATAAATAAAACTATCAATATATATATATATATATGTATTTGTATTCAATTCCAAAAAATTATATACACTACTTAGGATTCATAAAATCAAACACATATCTATCATATGCTAACTATAAAAGAATAGCTAAAATAAAAAGAACCTGGATCTGAAGGAATCCTGACCAGCCTCACATTTGATCATTTGTCATGACCTGAAATTATTTAATGATATATAATGAGCTAAAAAGTCCAGCAGGTTACCAAAATCTGCAATTAAATTCAAAGTACAATAAATGGGCAATATGTATGTCATGGATCAAATCATAGTACTAGCATTCATATGAACTTTGAATCAATACATAAATAGTAACTCACATGTAATAGTAGAAGAATTTATAAACAATAAAATAATATAATACGAAAGTCAATAAATCAATACTGGTGTCAAATCTATAAAGCAATCTCGATATCAAATATATCAATCAGTAGATAAATCGTATAAAGCAGTAAAACCAAATTATCGACAAGGACTGTCAAAGTTATATCAAGATGGTAAAATCATATAGTAGTGTATACATGCTATCTGATTATTATATATCAGTATTAAATCAGTATCCAAATCACATGTTCAATATATAATGTATATCACGTGCCCAATCTATATATCATGTTTTTTGTATTAATAAATCAATAACATTGATAATAATAAATTAGTATAGTATTATGAGCAATTCATCGGTAATATTTATTTCAGTAGTCATACTAAACAAGTAAGAAGTCTAGCTACAAGGTATTTTTTAATATCATATCAGTGTAAGTAAATCGTTGGCCCAATATGTATAGTCGTCACTCTTTGTCCGTCAGCACAGTAATCATCTTCTTATAAGTCTCAATCAGCGTAACACGTGAATCAGTAAAGGATAACATCAAACCACAATATTTAAAGAAAAGCTCGTCGGTCCACCATCATGTACAGGTCAATTAGTCTCCAACTAATTGGTCAACCAACCTTTATTTATCTTTTTACACACAAATTGGTCCACCATCATGTACAGGTTAATTAGTCTCCAACTAATTGGTCAACCAACCTTTATTTATCTTTTTACACACAAATTATTATCACAGTACTATGACATTAATAACGACCAACTATTACTCAATCATATATCCATATTCATCTTCAATGTATTGCAGTAAATTAAATAAAACACAATTGAGCTTAAATTAGAAAGTGGCAAAATGTCCTAACGGTAGAAAAAAAAACCATACTAAGTAATAATTCACATTTTTAAAATTTAACCAAAATACTAAATATTACAAAAAAATATATTCTGAAGCTTTAGTAAAATTATTATTTTTTGATGTCACAATAAATTTTGAGAAGGTAAAAATTATTGTATTTTCAAAATCACCAAGTGAAAAATCTCAAATAAATTCTCAAAATATTTATAATTTCAATCTCTATAACATATAAAAAGTTATGGGTTTAAAAGTTTACCAATATAAAATTATTCTCATTTTTTGGTAATGTAAATAAAAATTTGACCAAA